TTTTCAGGTATTTATCATTACAACTCTTACTCTTATGGTACAAATTATAATTTTCTTTTAAGAATTTATTAAGTATGAAATAGGCAGGAAGAGTAAGTGGGAAAACTGGAGCTGGGAATGTGATGGATTGGAGTGTTAACACTGCTTATAAGACCTTAAAAGGTACACTTTTAATCCACTATGATCTTGCATGCATTTTCTTTATCTGGCATTTTCTTTCTTATGATAGTAAATATGTTCATTTTGCTTAGAGCATTCTGAATACAATAACAGAAAGGAACTTGCTTCCTTATTTTTATCAGAAAATTGTACATAATTCTGAATTTAGCAGTGGATATGCAAGATTCATATACCAACCCCAATTGATTTGCGATTAAGACTTGTTTCTGTTTGACCTCCTTTGGCTTATTGCATATTCTATGTTTATATGATCCTCTTTTTTATCGCTCTCCCACGAACAGAAATGGAACCCAAATCCCTTGCCGTCGTGGAAGCTACAAGTGCAATCCTTCCAAACGTAGAACCTATAGATATGGGGATGGGGACTTCAGAGAAAGGAAATGCTGCTCCTATAACAAAACCAAGGAAAAAGACCATGACATCAGTGTATCTCAAGTACTTTGAGACAGCTTCAGATGGGAAAACTAGGAGATGTAAATTTTGTGGACAGAGTTATTCGATTGCAACTGCCACAGGTAACTTATTTCCTCCTCTCAAGTGAGAGAAATGCATAATTTTCATGTGAGCCTCTAGAAACTAGAATCAACTCCAATTTCAAACTAAAGAGGTGAGGGGTGTGGTGAAAAAAAAAATTGGTTACATCAAATGTGATCTGCAGAATCGGGATTATGGAAATACTATTCCAAATATTGGTGAAAAGTTCTTACGATGATCATGCTTAATACGGATATTAGGTAGTATCTGTAGACCGTGACGTTCTTCTTCCTTTTTGTAAGGCAACTTGGGAAGACATCTCAGCAATCGCCATCCAGGATATGATATAACAGTTAATGTTGCCACTCCTGCTCCACAACCAGTCACTATTCCCAAGAAGCTTCAACCTCAACCTCAACCTCAATCTCAAGCCATAATACCTCAGTTGGAGCTTGATCATTTAAACTGGTTGCTCGTTCAGTGGCTTATTCTCTCATCTCTACCTCCTTCTACATTGGACGAACATTGGCTTTTGAACTCCTTTAAATTTCTCAACCCAACAGTAAAATTGTGGCCCAGAGACAAGTTCCAAACAGTACTTTGTGAAGTTTTTAGAAGCATGCAGGAAGATGTAAGGGTGATAGTAGACCAAGTTTCTTCCAAGGTCTCTATAACTCTTGATTTCTGGACATCTTACGAGCAACTCCTCTATATGAGTATTACTTGCCAGTGGATTGATGAAAATTGGTATTTCCAGAGGATGCTCCTTGATGTTTGTCACATATCTTCTCCTTGTGGGGCTGCTGAAATTGCTCATGCTCTACTAAAGGTCCTTAAGACGTATAATATTGACAACAGAGTTCTCTGTTGCACCCACGATAATAGTCCAATTGCACTGCATGCATGCCATACACTCAAAGAAGACATGGACAACCAGAAAATGAGTTCCTTCTACTACCTACCATGCGCTGCTCATACTCTGAATTCAATCATAAATGATGGACTAAGATCTACGAAGTCGATAATCTCCAAAATAAGGGAGTTTGTCTTAAAGATGAACACATCTTTGGAGATTTCTCAGGATTTTCTTCAATGTTGCAATGCTTATCAAGAAGGCAATTGGAAACTTCCTCTTGATGCCTCGCCTCGTTGGAGTGGCAATTATCAGATGCTAGACATTGCGCGGAAGGTATTCTTCTTTATTGTTAAATTTTTCTCTTCAATCTCAAGTTACTGGCTGATTGTGAAAATACTTAAGAACAATATAAGAACATACATCTAACTTATATATATAATCAAGAACAAGATTCTCGACATTGCATTGATTTGTTCTTTCTTGTTAAATGTGCTCCTCAATCTCAAGTTACGAGCTCCCAGTAAAATTTTTAAGGACAAGATTAAAAGGTTAAAAACATACATCGAACCTGTATTGTGATTGGACTGAAAATAATATCATTCACTAACATCCAATTTATGATTGGATATCCGTTAGTTACTAAATTGTGCACAAGACACGTAGATATGGCAACATTATTGAGTTATGGGCTGATTTCTTACCAAATTGTGCACAAGACACGTAGATACGCCAACATTGCCAACAAATGCCTGATGGGCTGCTCCAATTAAACCACTACTTTGGTTATCAAAAATATGCCAACATTGTTGAGTTATGGGCTGATCATTTTGTTATTTACCACGACCATCTTAAGGAGGAAAGACGAACTGGATTTGAAAACTAGATTCTGCTTTTACATGTAGTCTACGGATCAGCAATGACCTACATTATATTTTGCCATGCAGGCAGGTAAATCAATGGAATCTATTATCCGGAAGTATGATGAACTAGGCAGTATGCTTCTGAACACTGCGGAGAAGAATGCTGTGAATATAATGCATGCATATTTGGAACCTTTCTATAAAACCATCAATGACATATGTACAAACAAAGTACTAACAGTTGGTTTGGTTCTTTTCTTCATGGATCACATTTCTGAAATAATTGCCGCTTGTAGAGACTCTCGACACAGCCCTGACTGGCTCAAGAGTGCTGCTGAAGAAATGGCTACAAAAGCCCGAAGCTATAACGACCAGGTTTGCAATGTTTTCACATATATGACTGCAATACTTGATCCAAGAATAAAAGTTGAGCTCATTCCTGAAAAACTCAACTCCGAAGATTACTTGGAAGAAGCCAGAAGCTATTTCATAAGAAACTATTCCACCAGTCATTTTTCTGCTATCACCAGTCCCTACGCTGCACAGGAGCTAGAAGATGGAGGGAGCGTTTCTTTTGCAGAAGAAATTGCTCGTAAGAAACGTAGGTCAAGCATGTCCTCTGCCACAGATGAGCTCACTCAATATTTATCAGAGCCTCCCGCTCCAATACCAACAGATGTCTTGGAATGGTGGAAGGTGAACAGTACGCGCTACCCACGTTTGTCGGTGATGGCTCGGGACTTTTTGGCTGTACAACCAACTGCATTGGCGCCTGAAGACCTTTTCTGCAGCAAAGGTGATGAGATAGATAAGCAGAGATTCTCAACACCCTATGAGAGCACCCAATCTTTGCATTGTGTAAAGTCATGGATGCAAGGGGGATTTAAGTTGAAGTATAAATCAACTGAAATTGATTATGAGAGGTTAATGGAATTGGCAACTGCTACAGCAGCTGAAAATACTACAACAACTTCCGACAACAAACAGAAATCATGATAGTTTTTTGATTGATGAAACTGAAGGACCAAATTGAGACCATAGACTGGTTGATAAACTTCCAACCAGAGGCCAAACTTGTGTTCTATGTAATATGTAGATCTATCATATGTTAGTGTACAGGTTTGAATAGAGAGAAGCCTAACCCAAGACAATGAATTTATGTTCTTAGGAATTAGGAATTGTGGTGCCTGTGTTTCAACATAACAATTTTTTCTTCAAGTCCTGGTAACAGTGTAGTGGCTATCAAAATTCATTAACTGAGTCTGAATTAGCAGCTACTTTAGTTTCAATGTGCAAACTGGAGCATGAACTTTTCTTTATGTGTATAAAAGCATGAACTTTTCTTTATGTGTATTTTATCCTTTAACCAGTGATGTTGCGTCGCTCAAGATGCAGAAATCTGATACAAAGACGTAATTATGATACATAGGAAACCAGTTAAAATACAAAAGTCCATAATTAAACTTGTTGTATGCTCTTTTAACTTTATTTTCCCTTCTTCCTTTCACCTTTTCTGTTTTCAGACAAGGATGATCATGTTGTCCAAGAGCTACAGAATGCCTAAAAGAAGAACAAGGTTGAAGACTCTAATTAGCCAAGCCGAAAGAATGCAAATGTCAATGAATCAGACGTATCGAGAAATATGGTAAAGGACATGAGAGTACAAGTTACAGAAAGTGATGAAGGCATAAGTAAGCAGAGTTCAACTTGCTTCGTGCCAAGGTCAGTGAACATGTCGAGTGACTCTTGTGTGACATCAAAGGAAGATGATGCCAATCAGCGACTTGATAATGGTAAGTTTGCTTGCATCCAATAATTCTACCAGATATTTGCTACCTCCCACAGAAGAGGTATTAGGTAATTCTATCCCCCAAAAGTTTACACAAATAAAAGAAACTTACCTAGTATTTTTCGTCCATTGAAATTTGAACCTGACACTTAAGATTTTGAACTTACTTAATTGACCACTAGACCACTATCTCTAGATACCAAAACTTGCAATCATGTGTGCTCAATGTAGATGTGGCAGACTAAACAAGCACGTCTCTCTCCCTACAAATGATTCTTTTAGACATTGGAATTCACCTTTGGCTTCTTGAATATTTTATCGTTGCGAGGTAGTTTAATCTACGCAGTTACTTCCCCTAGTTTTGTTTGGCCATTCAAATTTAAACATGTTACTCGATAAACTCCGAGCTTTGTTTGGCCATTCAATATAAGTATACTATTTTGTTTAATTTTATATGATACTTCTTTAAAATATATTTCAAAAGGAATGAGATAACTTTTATTATTAAAAAGGTTAACATTAATTTTTTTTATTTTAACCTTAGTGTTGTAATTTATAATCATAAAACTATTATATTTAAAGTCAATTTTTTTTTAAACATGTCCCTAATCAAATTCTTAGGAATACATCTGGTTAAAACTTGAGCATATCAGCCGTTAAACGTTCCAAATATGAATCTGCAAGAGAAAAGGTCCAAATCTCTCCCACTTTCCCAAAGCATATCTATGAGTGTTCCCTCCTCCCCACGTGTGCTCTTGCATGTAAACGCAACCTTCAACTTCCTCACACGTGTCACATTACCCCATCCTTTTCTCCGGTAATCCTCTTCTTAACTTCTTCTATATTTAATTTCCTCTTAAAGAAACTCTCCCATTTTTTCCTTCAGACAAACAGTACGGTCGATTTCTTCTCCTCTTAACAATGGCTGAACAACAACCAAGCTACGGTCGTCCACAAAGGCCACAAACTAGATCCGCAGGTTTCAACAGCAACATGACAACCCCTTCGTTTCTCCGAAAATTACAAGAACATGTCCCAAATTCAACCCAACTTGTCGGATTCTTGACCCTTATTATCTCCGGGGCAATCTTGCTCCTTCTCACTGGCTTAACTCTTACGGCTATTATTCTGGGTCTTATTTTCTTCACGCCTTTGGTCCTTATCTCTAGCCCCATCTGGGTCCCTGTGGGTACTGTTCTATTCATAGCCATTGCTGGATTCTTATCTGTCTGTGGATTTGGGGTCGCAAGTTTGGCGTCTCTCTCTTGGCTGTATAGGTATTTCAGGGGATTCCACCCGCCCGGTTCAGACCGGGTTGATTACGCGAGAAGCCGGATTGCTGATACGGCTAGCCATGTGAAGGATTACGCTAGAGAATACGGTGGGTATCTTCATAGTAAAGTGAAAGATGCAGCTCCCGGTGCTTAATTGAACCGCTCAACAAGCCGCTCGAATCGGATTTTTTTTCCTCGATCATGCATGTTACTTTTAGTAACGGTTTTGAATTTTTTTTTAATATCAATCGGATCTCTGTAATGTTCTTATTTTAAGAGAATGCAGTGATGTTCTTTGAGAATTATTCAAGGTGGATTTTAAATTTTTTGTTAATCTGGAATTTCACATGGGTAATAGGAAAATCCTAGGGAAAACAATATAATGTTTTATTACTCCCTGGTCCAAAATAAGTGATTTTTTTGGATATTTTCACACAAATTAAGAAATCCACCTTTTAGCATTAATTATCAATAAAATTGACCATATTAAATTCTACTATCTCACATAAATACTCCTAACACATATTTCAACATCATTTATTTCAAGGACAATGCAGGAAAACAATAATTAATTCATTCTTGAAATCTGAAAAAATTATTTATTTTGGATCACAAAAAAAAATTAAAAAATTATTTATTTTGGATCGGAGGGAGTAATTTTTTATTATATTTATTGCAATCCAGTATCCTCAAAGCTTATCAACAATGTGGCAATTTTTTTACACGTATCCACTTATAGGTGGGGAATCGTTAATGATATAGACGTGTACGGTAGTAATTTTATTATAACGAATTATAGAATGGGAATGTTCCACACGTGGCATCTCGGTATTTCACAGCTACTTAGGGCCGGTTAACTCTGCGCATCAAGCTAATTAATTAGTTCATCCCTCACCATCGCATAATTTTGTTCAGCAGTTAGTGAGTAAAATATTTTTGTATAAACTAGTTCATCAAATACATAGAAAGAACAATAATTCGAAAACTAGATAGCACACAAATATTTACATTGTTGTGTATTTAGAATATAAATATTATCGAGTACTGAAGCAAATAATAAGTCCCTCACAAGTTGAAAATTCAAAAATTAAAGTTTAATAACCCTCGTGAAAAAACGATTGATAAGAGAAATAGTTGGTCTTTGAAGCTTTCGCTAGGACTTGAAAGTGAGTCGAACTGGATCTTCTTGTGATTTTTCCCTTGGAAAATGGATACAGTATTCTCACATCAATTATTTGAACTGTTGACCAAATAATTATGCGGTTCATCAACTAAATTTCACAACTTTTCATATAACTATACTGTTATAAAACAATAAATGAAGAAGAAGAGTATTGCGGAGAAAGAAGGAGAGGGAATTCTTATTGAATTTGGGATAAATTACAACGGAATAGAACCCTCTATTTATAGAGAAAAAGTGACTTAGCCACCAAGTAACTAACCTTAAGATCTCTCTAAATTATAGACATTCACCTTAAATAGAATTCTATTTATAACACTCCCCCTTGAATGTCTATTCAACAGATAATGTGCCTCGTTAAAACCTTAACTAAAATAAAATTCAGTGGGAAAAAATTCTAGAGAAGGAAAAAGAGTACACATATCTAACAATACGCCTTTTGGTTGCCTCGTTAAAAACCTTGCAAGGAAAACCTAGTGGGACAAAACCTTTTAAGGGAAAAAGAGTACAACGCGTATTAACTCCCCCTGATGAGAGCATCAATTCACATCCTTAAGCATTTGCATTCTAATCTTGTGCACCATATTCATACATCTTTGGTAGAGATTTGATGAACAAATCAGGCATATTAACTTGAATGAATATATTGCACTTTGAAATCATCATTCTTGATAGAGATGAATTGTCTTCATATGATCTTGTTGGAATCGTCAGTTCAATATCTTTACATAGAGGTGAAGCTCTTGCTATCATATTATCATGCCTATAGTTATAGAAAGATACATTTGTGCACAAATTGCACTGAGGAAGTGGTACTTCAAGATCAAGAATTGTATATGCTTCAAGCAACTTAAATCCTTCATGGATTGTCATACAAGTTAAGTCATATAAGCCATATAGTAGACTTTAGATGCATTTCAAGTTTTCATGTCATGCTAGACATATAAGATATCGAAAACTGATTGCACATACCATTGACTTTATACTTTCAATTTCAAGTATTTGAACTACATGTTCAAAACTACATGTCTTTCATATGAAACCAATTCTACTTGAATTGTTTCTCTAGACTTAAGATCCTCATATATATTTAGCGCTATCATAGATGTCGTCAACGAACATTTTATATCGGTTCCAACCTTCTTTTTTTTCTTCATAAAGACATAACATAGAGATCTCTTCATTCATATATTCAGGTACCTGAATCTCTCATGAGATTTTATGAAGTGTTATGTCATGTGATCTTCTAGATCACTTGACTCCTTTATTATGATCATTTTGATCATTTGCTCATCTTCTTTATCAAGAAGTTTATTTGAAACCGATTTGTCTATATGCTTTAAGCGTACCATAGGCTTTGTCCTTCTAGGACTTATTCTAATAGGAGCATTTGCAGTGAGAATATAGTTACTTTCTTTGGGTCAGCAAACGCGTCTGGCATGCTTTGAAATATATTGCAAATGAATTATCCTTTTATGAACTTCAAGTTCATATTATTTTATTCGAGGATCTAGATGTATAAATGATAATTCATTCCACGTAACTTTTTCTCAAATGTTTTATCTTGTCTCCCCCTCATGTTAGAAAAACTAACTTGTTTTCTCAACTTTGAGAATTCACCTTTGTGCGTTATGGTATTAATCAAAATATACACCGCACATCAATAATAATAAGATGGGATTATTTGGTTCCTGACCCTGAACCACTTGTGAGGGGAGAATGTAATATACTTTCGTATGTAACCTATATCAATGTGATATAGATAACTTTGTTCTCATAAGCAATTGTTTAGATATTAAGTGGAGGCACTCAATAAATTATTTTGCTAAACCAATTGTGTTATAACCAACTTATCAAGATGAACTATCTTGAATAGAAAATCTGAAAATTATGCCCGAAATTAAATTACTGAGCAAGTTACCTCGCAAACACCAGCCAGGTTGCGGGTTAATAATAATCGCACATGTAACCATCTCATAGATGCATCTTATGTGGTATACATGGCAGGTGAATGGGTCCATATTCACCTTTAATATTTCAAGCATTCATGGGATTCAATCCCAATTTTAATTGGTCTATTAATTAATAAGAACAAGCAACATAAGAGAATTAGTAAAGAACTTTCTAGTTCTTTAATATTTACCCATGTGAATTCTCTTTAATTTTTGCACATCATACTCAAATTAATATGGCTAAACCAATTATGCCAACTGAATAAATTATCAATATTGATAAACTTCAGTTTACACCATGACGTATGCAATTATCAATAAACTCCAAGTTTATTATGATATGGGTTTTTATATCAATAAACATCCACTTTAGTGTGGTATTCTTTTATTTGTTTAGTACAAATTGGAGAATAAAGCGGGTAGATTTTCACATACATATTACCCCGTTGCAAATTGTAGTAATAAAAGATATTAAATCTTTCCTTTATTTATAGTCTCAATATATTCAACCGCTTTCGCTATACTTTGGAAAATGAATAAGTTTCTTTGAGACTTACTACAACACAATACCTTATTGGTAATCAATTGTGTTTCTCCAAAATAGTATAATTGGCTTTTGCAGAGTTCTCAATTAATTTTGTACTACCACATATCCATCAACATCCATATGGAGAATATCTCTTTTAAAGAGAAATTTATACCATTATGGTTATGGTCAAAATTATATGCAAGATATGTTTCTTGCATTAATGTTATTCTTTAATAATCACATTACCGAAATATTTTGGCGTGCAATAGGTACGTGACCAATGACCTCATGCCATAATAATGACATTATTTTCTTATATCATCTCAAACCTCCTTCTAGAGGTGAGTGTGGTATATTCACTACCACTAGCACGTTCATATTCTTCAAGAATGAATATGTATTCATAAATCAGATGTTGTCACATTCACATCATGAATGGACCATAATCATCTGTATGTGCTTTATAAAATCTCATGTCAAATCGATGACAAATATTACTTTCACAGAGTGAAGGATTATTTTGAGAATCCTTATTATTCTCATTATCACAATGATGACGATTATAATTTCGTCTATTGCCACGTCTACATCCATTGACACCTTCACGGTAATTATTTTGTCTTTTTGCAGACTTATCACATATTGCTATCACATTCTCTTAAGGGAATGAGAATGAAGCAAATTCAATGGGACGGGCTTTCACTTTTTGTCCTCACGATCATACATGACTTTGATCATGGCAAGACATAGAAATTTTACCACTTCGGGTGGTTATAATTTCTTACAAACTCCATTAGTTGTAATCAAAATTTATTGTCTTTGCTTGTATTTTAAAATTAAATTATAGAATAAAATAAAAAAATACGGTAAAATACTTACCTTAAATCCAGAATAATCATGAAGGAAATACATAGAACAATTGACAATCATTATGATCAATCCCAAAGATTCTACTCAATTAGTTAGAGTCTCGTGCTGATAACGTGTTATAAAACAATAAATGAAGAAGAAGAGTATTGCAGAGAAAGAGGGAGAGGGAATTTTTATTGAATTTGGGATAAATTACAATGGAATGGAACCCTTTATTTATAGGGAAAAAGTGACTTAGCCACCAAGTAACAAACCCTAAGATCTCTCTAAAATATAGACATTCACCTTAAATAGAATTCTATTTATAACAAAAACTATGTTTTCTCACGCAAAAATCATAAAACTTTACTAACTCACCCAAAAATCATAGTGACCGGAAAATATAACTTTTCAATAGTATTTTCTTATTCCACGATTTTTTATTTTTTATTTTTAATGTAATAAATAATAATCTAATTAAAATAAGAATGACCCAATCGGACACCCAATAGCCACATATATAAATTAAATTAATACTATAAGTGTATCTTTCAAAACATGATACTTCTATCTTTTATTTTTCTTTCAAGATTTCCATTCAAATTGGTGGAATTTTTGTTTTAAGCGCTCTCTAATTATACCTTTTATTTTAATTTTATTTTTGTGAGAATCTCAAGCATTCCAAACTAGGTTTTTGCAGGGGAAGGATCTCACTTTTAGTATTATTTTAATTTATATACATGAGTATTGGGTCAGGTTGGATTGGGTCATTCCTATATAAGGAGAATACATAAAATTGATAGGTCATCCGAAACTGATATTCG